GTACGCCCTTCCCAATTTTGAACCATGGAGTTTTCCCTTGCTCTGTTCTGACGACTGCCTCCTGGTCCAAGTATAGGTTTCGCATTAGAACAATCAAGTGTTCTGGGATTCCCATTCGTGAGCATATTTATTTGCCACCTGCTCTCATTCTTAACTCTTTCTTTTGAGCTATAAAAGTTGGTGTCTCCAGTGATTTTAATCCACTAGTGGCTCCAAGGGAGATAGATTGGTAGTCTCCGCCTATTTCCATTGCACTTTTCCTGGGTAAGTACTGTTATTCTTATGTATACACTTAATCATTCTAAGGAATGAGTAAGTCCCTAAAGTTATTATTCACCTCATTGTAGAATGTTGAGTTAGGGGATAATTCCAGTCCAGGCTTGAGGGGTAACTAAAGGGGCTGGGAAGTTGAGTCAAGGTGGTGATTTCAGTTTAGGCTTGAATGATGTCTAAGGGTCACAGTGTCAGGGCAAATACCTGCCCACATTTATCATGACTGAACACATAAATCTCTTCACATGGAATACATGAAATAAGATCAACTTAATCTTTGCAAAGCTCAGTATCCTCAATCAGAACAAGGCTGGGCTTCAGCATCACAACTGAATATCATTTCTCATATATAATTTCATGTTGAACCTGAATAAAATTAAAACAAGCCCATAATAGTTAAGATATGAAATTAAGTATGTTGTTGTCATCAGGGGCTATCGAGTCGAGAATGACTCTCAGCGACCCTATGAACAAAAGATCTGACCACACTTCCTAACACACAAGAGCCTTTTGTGGCAGTCACCATGTCAGTCCACCTGATTGAGAGTCTTCTTCCCCTTTGCAGACCCTCCACCCTTCCTAGCATCATGTCCGTCTCCAAGGAATATTCCTTCCTAGCAACATGCCCACAGTATGTGAGGCAAAGCCTCATCATTCTTGCCTCCAAAGAGCATTGCAGTTGCCCCCTCTCCAAGACATATCTGTTTGTTCTTTTTTTTTTTTTTTTATTTTGTGTGCGTGTACCGTCAAATCAGATCTGACTGGTACAGGAGGATATTGCGCCTCCTTCTCCGGCAGAGCATCTGGTGGATTCGAACCGTGTTTCTCTGGGATTGCAGCGCAGCTTCTTGCCACTAGGCCACCAGAGCTCCCCAATATCTGTTTGTTCTTTTGGACATGAATGGGATGTTCAGTGCTCTTCAACATCATAGCTCAAAGACATCAATTCTTTTTTTCTCATCCTTATTCATCATCCAGCTCTCAAATGAATAATAAGTGATCGGAAAGACCATAGCCTGAATCAGATGCATCTTAGTCCTCAAACTGACATTATTACTCCTCAATAATTTGTATAGGTCCCTAAGTGCTGATTCTCCAAGGGCAATGTGTCTCTTTATTTCTTGACTGCTCTCACCAAGGGTGTTCATTGTGGATCCAAGCAAGATGACACTGTTGAAAGTCAATCTCTAAAACAACTATGAGATATCATCTCACCCCAGTCAAAATAGCAACATTTAACAGAACAGCAAGCAACAAATGCTGGCAAGGTTGTGGAGAAACTGGAACCCTAATTCACTGTTGGTGGGAGTGTAAAATGGTGTAACCCCTGTGGAAAGCAGCATGGCGCTTTCTCAAAAAGTTGCAAATAGAGATACCATTTGACCCAGAAATTCCACTACTGGGAATATACCCTGAAGAGACCATAGCTGACATCCAAGCAAATATATGCACACCCATGTTTATTGCAGCTTTGTTCACAATAGCAAGGAGTTGGAAACAACCTAAGTGCCCATCAACAAACAAATGGCTAGAGAAGCTGTGGTATATTCGCACAATGGAATACTATGCTGCATTAAAAAACAAGGAACTCATGCAATATTATTCAAAATGGTTGACTCTGGAGAACATTATGCTGAGTGAAATATCCCAGTCACAAAAGGACAAATATTACATGATGCCACTGTTGTAGAATGGGACTAACCTCGGGGTTGGGGAGAGACTGAGTAAGATGGGTTCAATAATGTATACTGCACTGAAACAGAGGAGGGAGAAAACTGTTTAAAAGAGATATGTGACTAGGTATTTCTGTCATCACAGGAGTCTATAGTGAGGGCTACATGGTGGAGGGTTTGTAAAATAATGAAAGAATCTTTTCTTTTACTCTTCCATAATTTTTGACTCATGTACTTATAACTTGTTAGTTAAATTTGTGTCTTCTAGGTTGCAACACCCCCATGATACATCTTCAAGGATATGAACATGTACGGCCAAGCACAATCAATAAGAGTGCATCTAAATTCCAAAATCAATCTCCATAATAGTCTATGTGTTTCCTACTGCCAAAGGGGCCCTTTAGAGTAGTGAGAGAAGATCTTCACCCTGAAACCCACAGCGTCCCTTTTCAGCAGGAAGTAGCTAAGAGAATACGCCATCCCCTTTTCCTTATGAATCAGGGTGAAGTCTCTCTCAGGGAGGAGTGATAGGGAATGGCAAAGGACACACCAACAAAGGAAATTAATCAGAACTGACTTTGACAAGCACTGTGGCAATTGGACAATTAAAACAGACAGTCGGATGGCGGGGAAGAAGAACAAACTGGGGAGGAGGGTAGAGAGAATGGTGCAGCAATGAAGGAATGAAAACCCAAAATCCCTGTAAATGTTCATTAAAACTAATAAAATTTAATAATAAAAAAAGAAAGTCAATCTCTCCATTCATCATGATGCTGCCTGTTGGTCCAGTAGTAAGAATTTTTGTTTTCTTGACATTAATACTTAATCCATACTGAAGGTTTCATTCCTTGATCTTCTGCAACAAGTGCTTTAAGTCCTCCTCACTTTTAGCAAGCAAGGTTGTGTCATCTGCCTGATTTTTAACCATGCAGTGTTTCCTTGCTCTGTTCTGACGACTGCCTTCTGTTCCAAGGGTAGGTTTTGGATAAGCACAATCAAATGTTCTGGGATTGCCATTCTTCTCAAAGTCAGCCACAGTGTGTTGTGATCCATGCAGTCAAATGCCTTTGTATAGCCAATGAAACACAGATAGACATTTCTCTGGTACTTTCTCCTTTCAGCCAAGATCCATCTAACATCATCTATAATATTCCTAGTACCCCTCTTCTTTTTGTAAAATGTTAATTTGTGTGTGTGTGTGTGTGTGTGTGTGTGTGTGTGTGTTTACTTACCATCAAATCAGAGTTTGCCCCTCCTTCTCCAGCAGAGCATCTGGTGGATTAGAACCACGTGCCTCTAGGATTGCAGTGCAGCTTCTTGCCACTAGGCCACCAGAGCTCCCTCTTAGTACCCCCTCTAAAAAGCATTGATGCCTTTGATCTGTGTGGTGCTGGAGAAGAGTATTGAATATATCATGGACTGCTAGGAGAACAAACAAGCTCCTCCTAGAGAGGGTGAGACCAGGCTGCTCCTTGGAGTCAAGGATTTTGAAGCTTCATCTGACATACTTTGGACATGTTGCAAGGCGAGATCAGTCCTTGGGGAGGGACATCATGTTTGGGAGTGTGGAGGGACAGCACAGGAGGAGAAGACTGTCGATGAGATGGATTGATTCAGTAACTGGGGTAATGGGGGTAGGTGTATTAGAGAAAATAAGATTGGCACAGGATAGAGCAGGGTCTAAGGGCTGTTGTACATAGGATCACTATGAGTCGTAGGCGCATAACAACAACAACAATAACCTCTTCTAAACCCAGCCTGCACACCTGGCAGTTCTCTGTTGATGTGTTATTCCAGTCGGCTTGGGGGTTATACTGGCCAGAAGCCTGTGGGTTCACCTGGGCACTCCACACCGCCGTGGACTTGACTTTTTGCTCTCCGTCATTCTGTTGTTAAGCATCTATGTGCCCGTGTGTCCTGCCACTTTAAGGCTGCAAACAGCTGCCCCGCCCACCCGGTTCCGGCCCCTCCCCCGCCCCGAGAAGGCCCGGGCGGCCCCTGCAGTGCCTGGCGCGCCCGCACGGTGGCGAGACCGCGCATCCTGGCCTCTCTGGCCGCTCCGGCTCGCTAGTGCTCTGTGCGGGCCGGAAACTCGAGCAGTGGGCCGGAAGTATCAGCGCAGGACCGGGTTAGGATCGGGACTGGGGTCCTGGAGGGGAGCGGGGGAGGGGGTGGGAACAGGGTCAAGACATAGCTAGGCTGCAGCTATGAAGCGGGACGTGCGCATCCTGCTGTTGGGCGAGGGTAGGTGACGGCGAGGGACAGGGACTGGGGTCGGTTCAGCGGAGATCGGGATTGGGGCTGGGGTCCACCCTGGAAGAGGGTGGGGCTGGGGTCCACCCTGGAAGAGGGTGGGACCTGCACGAGCGTGGCGGGCGCTTGGAACTCCGTGACCTTGGCCGCCGCTAAGCTGACCTCCCGCCCCACGCAGCCCAGGTAGGGAAGACGTCGCTGATCTTGTCGCTGGTGGGCGAGGAGTTCCCGGAGGAGGTGAGCGGCCGGGCGCGTGTCCGGGCTGACGCCCCCGGACTGGCGCCCGCCCGATACCCCATCGTGCAGAGCACTGGCTTCCGTCTGGAGCGAGGGCTTTAGGGCTCTGGTCGGTGCGTACCGCGCGTGGGGCGTGACTGCAGCACAGCCGGAGGTGGACCGCAAACCCCGCCCTACACCTGCTGGGTGGACCCGAGGGTTTTTCAGGGTGAAGGCTATCCCAGGTGTGCTTCTGCCCTTTTTTCCTGCATCACCCTCATGGGACTGGGTCTGTCCCAGGTTCCTCCCCGGGCAGAAGAGATCACCATTCCAGCAGATGTCACCCCTGAGAAGGTTCCCACTCACATCGTAGACTATTCAGGTAATGCCCCTCCCCGCACCCACGACCTCGCCAGGTGAGCGCCTGGCCAGAATCTGCAGCGAGGTCCCTTCTTCCTTCAGAAGCGGAGCAGACAGAGGAGGAACTATGGGATGAACTTCACAAGGTGCTTCCTTGGGTGACCTGGTTGGGGGCAGGGCTAAACCTTGATGTGGGTGGGGCTTGAGACTGCTGGTCTGGATTAAGGAGTTCCAGGTTGGCTGCAGTCCGCTAATTCCTCTGTGACCTAGGTACTGAGAGTAGATGGGGTCTTCTGCCACAACCCGCCAGAAAAGCAGGGCAGTGAACTTCCCTGAGGCCCCTTCCTAGTGAACGTTGGGGAATTCACCTTGAATCACTTCACAGTGATCCCCACGTGGCTCGGGAACGCCTAACCCTAACCCTAACCCTCCGGTTTAAGTCCGCCAAGTGAAAGGTTGACAGTTTGCATTCACAGACTTCTCTATTGGAGAAAAAGGAAGGCGTCTGTTTCAGTAAAGATTTACAGTCCTTGAAACCCTACAGGTCAATTTTATTGTCTCAGGTGGTTTTAGAGAGCTCTGGTGGTGTGGTGTGTTATGTTTGGGCTGCTGACCAGAAACACTGCTGATCTAAACCCATCAGCCGAGTCTCCAGAGAAAGATGAGGCAGTGTGCTCTTGTAAAACAGTTCAGCCTGGTGCCCCATGCCTGGATCACAGATTCCATGTGGCACCCTGCATCATGGACTATAGCAGTGGGAGCAGTGCTGAATCAAGAACTGCCTGCCTGTGCAGGGTGCAGGGGGTCCTCTGGAGGCTTAGACAGCTCTTACCCCTGCTGGTCACCTGATGGTGCCTCTGGGTTTTGGGCCCCTGGTCCAGTAAATCGATTCTTAGTGGGAGGAGGGGGGACTTCAGCCTGTACAACCCAATGCAGAGTGGTGTAAGTGGGAACTAACTTGATGGTAGTAGCTTTGGTTTGGGCTTACAGAGTCGCTGTGAGTTGGCATCAACGTGAATACACCATTGGCATTAGTTTCCTGGTTTGGTGCCCCAGCTGAGCCATCATAATGGAGCAGCTGGCCTCCTCCGGCCTTCATCCCCCTCCTTTCCTGTAGTCTCTGCTGAGCCCGACAGGAATCTGAGCGTCGGCGGCTCAGTGCTGCCCCCATTCCTTGCCCCTGGTCACAGGCTGCTTGCATCTGCCCTGAGCCCCCCCTTTCCCCTGCGGGATGTGACAAAGCCTGTATTGAGGCCAGGTGTGCTGCCCTGGCACAGACCACGGCAGGTAGAGCTGTTGGGTCTGAGTAGCAGCTTGCCAGACTCAGTGTGTAGGCGGCTAGAGCATGTGGTTGGAACCAACCTGCCACCTGTTCTTCACAGGCAAACGTGGTATGTGTGGTATATGATGTCTCAGAAGAAGCCACCATTGAGAAGGTGAGCACCTCTCCTTGCCCCAGGACCTGGACCCACCCCGTTGTGCTCCCAGCCCCTCCCCTCCCCTGTCCTTTCACACCCTCCCTGGCCTGCGAAGGCCTGGGTGGTAGCATCTCACTCAGCCAAGCTTCCCTTGCAGATTAGAACCAAGTGGATCCCACTGGTGAATGGGAGAACCGACGGGGACCCCAGGTGACAAACGTGTCTTGGTGGGTGCCTGGGTCTTGCCATTGTCCATCCTGGTAACCTGATCTCCCCCTAGGGTCCCCATCATCCTTGTGGGTAACAAATCAGACCTGCGGCCAGGGGGCTCCATGGAGGCTATACTACCCATCATGAGCCAGTTCCCTGAGATCGAGACCTGTGTGGAGGTGAGTAGGCACTGAGGTGGATAGAGGGGCTAGGCAGTCAGCTGACCTGCTATATTCAGGACATTGTCCTCACGTGATCTCCCCGTTCTTCCTCCTCCAGTGCTCAGCCAAGAACCTGAGGAACATCTCTGAGCTGTTCTACTATGCTCAGAAGGCCGTGCTACACCCCACAGCCCCACTGTACGACCCCACTGCCAAGCAGGTAGGGGCAGCCAGTGGCTGGGCAGGAGGCGAGTTGTGTGGTGGAGGGAGTTATAGTGTGGGGGAGAGGGTGTGTTGAGCCTCTGTCCCTGCAGCTGCAGCCTGAGTGTGCCCAGGCCCTCACACGTATCTTCAGACTCTCAGATCAGGACCTGGACGAGATGCTCAGTGACCAGGAGCTCAACAGCTTCCAGGTGTGCAGCTCCCACATCTCATGCCCTATACCCTCGACCCCCTCTACGCCCCACCCCCCGAATCCCGTTCCATGCCCCGCTCTGCGCCTCCTTTTGCACCCTCTTGCACACTCCCACCCCAGAGTTTCTTGGTTCTTTACCTTTGGTGGTAGCCAGGCAACTGCTGGTTAATACCAGGTTTCTCTTGGAGACAGAAGGCTTGTTTCGGACACCCACTGGCCCCACAGGCCCTGGAGGATGTGAAGATGGTGGTGAGCAAGAATGTGGTGGGTGGTGTGCAGGATGGTTGCCTGACACTGGATGGTGAGTTAGAACTGCCCAGGCCATGGGGGGCAAGACAGAGTACAAGGATGGGTATGAGGTGGTGGTCAGGGCCCCTGGTTGGGCCGAGGCTGGGCTGTCCTTGGTGTGTGTCAGCCCAACTTTCCTCCTCATCTTGGGCACAGGTTTCCTCTTCCTAAACACGATCTTCATCCAGCGAGGCCGTCACGAAACCACCTGGACCATCCTGCGGCGCTTTGGCTATGGGGATGCCCTCCAGCTCACTGATGACTACCTCTACCCGCCGTGAGTAACTCCTTAAGAATCTCAGTCCCCCTGTCTGCTCTCCCTGTGTCAGTCTAGGGATAAGCTCCTAGGAACCTGCCTTTTCCATAGGCTTTCTGTGCCCCCGGGCTGCAGTGCAGAGCTCAACCACTTCGGCTACCAGTTCCTGCAGAAAGTCTTTGAGAAGCACGACCAGGTGAGACGATAGTTGCTCTGGCTACTCTGATAATGCACTGCCGCTACTCCTGTAGCTCCTGACCCCACAGTCCCCACCCTGCCCCTGAGAAGTGTTGCCCCCAGTCTCCTACCCTGGGCAGCTCCAGCAGTCATCACTCCTGTCACCACTCTGCTCAGGACCACGATGGCGTCCTCTCACCCTCCGAGCTGCAGAACCTCTTCAGCGTCTTTCCAACATCACCTTGGGGCCCTGAGCTTTCCCACACAGTGTGTACTGCAGCCAGCGGCCACCTCCCACTGCACGGGTTCCTCTGCCAATGGACGTAAGCACTGCCCACTCCCCCAGCTGCCTGGCCATTCTTCCCTGCCCTGCATAACTCCCACTCACCGGCCCCCAGCCTGGTGACCTACCTGGATGTGCGGCGCTGCCTCGGGCACCTTGGCTACCTGGGGTATCCCATCCTCTTTGAGCAGGACTCCCAGACCAGTGCCATCACAGGTGGGTGGCTGCTTCCCCTCCCTGGGGGGTCCCCCTCCCCAGGAACCTGTGCCAGCCTGTCACTCATCCCTCTGCAGTTACCCGTGAGAAGAGGCTGGATCAAGAGAAGGGACAGACTCAGAGGCACGTTCTTCTGTGCGAGGTGGTGGGGGCACCTGGTGTGGGCAAGTCTGCCTTCCTGCAGGCCTTCCTTGGCCGGAGCTTGGGGGTGAGCGTCCTGTGAGTGGGCAGGGCTGGCAGCAGGGGATCGGGGCCTCAGTGTCAGCATCTGCTTCTTGACTTGTCCTCCCTCCCCAGAGCCAGGAACTCCCGGCAGAACCTTCTGTCTATGCCATCAATACAGTGTTCGTCAGCGGGCAGGAGAAGTACCTAATAGTATGTCCGGGGGAATGTGGCATGCCCATCCCCTAGGATCTTGCCATCCTTGCCCTTCTGTCCTTGGGTAGCCCTCTGAGCCTGCCCTCTCCTGAGGCCACTCTGTTGGCAGCTACAAGAGGTGGACACGGACAGTCTATGGGACACCACATCAGATGCCACCTGTGATGTTGCCTGTCTGCTGTATGATCGCAGAGACCCTGAGTCCTTTGAGTTCTGCACTGGGGTCTATAAGGCAAGTTGGTGGTAGGCATCTGGCAGTGCTCTGCTGCCCCTGTGACCACCCTCAGGGTGAGAGCCCTCATACCCTGTCCCTGTCTGTGCAGCAGCGATACCTGGACGCACAGACCCCTTGCCTCTTCATCTTCTCAAAGTCCGACTTGCCTGAAGGCATGGTGACACCTGGCTCATCCCCAGCTGAGTTCTGCCGCCGGCATCGGTTGCCTGCCCCTATCTCATTCTCCTGCATCAATTTGGATACATCCAATACGGCTGTCTTCAGCCGGCTGGCCACCATGGCCACTTTCCCGTAAGTATTGAGCCCCAAAGCCAGACACCCTGTCCCTGGGTGGACTGATGGGCTATGGCTACTGCTAGCAGAACAGGGTATGGGCTTGTAGGACCTGTCCCCAGATAAGTACCAACCTCCAGGGCTCAGCCTTTTCAAGCCCACCAGTTCTAAGAGTCAGTGGGTAGGCCCAGCCAGTCTGGTGGGTCTGGGCGAATGGGATGGGCCTATCCAGCAACTGTGCTTTCCCTCTGCAGACACCTGGTGCAAGCCGAGTTGCACACCACCTCCTGGCTCCGGGTAATGCTGGGAGCCACCGGGGCTGCCCTGGCTGCCATCCTGAGCTTCTCCCTCTACAGGGTCTTGGTGAGGAGTCGATGAGGCCAGTCTGAGGCCCTCCCAACTGGCACCACAGCCTTGCTCTGCCCTGCAATCTGGGCACAGGGCTCCTCTGAGAGCTTCTGCCTACTGGAGCCTCCATTTCTAAGGATCCCTGCCCAGGACTTCCTCTTGTGCAGCCACCGTGCACCCAGGGACCAGCTTGCATCCAGGGTGGCCCTCTTGCTGGGCAGCCTAAATCTTAGCACCAATTAAGCATCCTCTGTATTAAGAGGGCAAGTCAGAAAGCCAGTGACTTCAAACCTGGAAGTCTCAGAGTTCCACTTCTTCCTTGTCCTGGGCCAGGATGGTCAGCATATGTGGAAGGGGACAGTGGAAGTGCTGGGTGGGTATATCAAACCCTCTAGGGTACACATGAACACCCCCCATCAGAAGTGGACCCTTCTTAGGATCCTGAGACTAGGTTTTCTGATTAAACTTCTGTTGTCTTCTCACCTCTGGGAACTTGCATCTTAAAGGCACTTTTTCTTAAATCGGCTTAAAGCTCATCCTTGGTCTGGAGTGGCCTCACCTGCCTTGGGTTGCTGCCCCAAGTGTCCACTCAACCTCCCTGGCCATCCCCTGCCCCAGGCCACACATCTAACCCAGTATGGGGGGAACCTTGTAATATGCACCATAGTCCCCACCATTCTGTGTGTGAGAGGCTCACAGATAGACCAAGCCCCTGAAGGAATGTAGTGAGAGCATCCCCTCAGCCTGAGCTGCATACTCAGGGCTGAGTAGCTCCCTACCTCATGATACTGGCCAGTCATGGTGTTCTTCCTCACCTGAGAGGAATTGTTGAAGCACTCAGGTTGAAGGAGGTGGGGTTCATTCGAGTACCTTTCTCAGTTGGAGGGTGGGGCTGGCTCCAACCGTCTCAGCCCAACAGGGAGATAGCTGGAGGGAGGCCCAGCAGACCAGGGTCCCAGCCAGCATATCCCCCCAAGCACTGATGCACATGCTCTGTTAAGCAGATCCAGTCCACTTGTGGTGCCCACTGTGCAGGACCACGGCTACCTTAAGGGAGGGCAAGTGTTGGTAGGTCCCTCCTCGACCTGCTGGGCTAGCCCTCTGCCCCCAGCAGCCTCAAGCAAGACAGAATGATTATTTTTGGCTGCTTGTGTCCCTAGAGGCCACAGCTGCCAAGAGTGATGGCTCCATTGAATTGCTGCAGTAGCAACCGGCTGGAGATGTGAGTGGCCCGCCAAAGGGTTGCTATGGTTACCATCCCCTGGTCTGTGCTACCTGCTTGTGTAAGGTCTGCCCACCTTCCACAAAGCAGTTATCTTAATTGAGCCCACAGCCGACCTGCCCGCATGAGGGTCTTCCTCATGTTGCTTAATGCCGGTGGGGCTTCCTGAACTCCTTCTATCCATGTCAATCGGGCCTATCCACAGCAGCCTCCGGTGGCTGTCCACCAGAATTGCCATAGTAATGATTATGCGCCTCAAGCCCCTCCAAGCCAGCTGAGCCCTCAGCCAAGACAGCCGCATAGTTAACCTCCCGTGCTCTGCCAGCAGCACCGCCGGGTTCCGCCCGCACTGGGCGGGGCCTCGGAGCTGGGAAGGCCGAGGTGTCCGCGTGGACCCGGACCAGTAGGGGGAGCCAGTGAGCTGCGAGGGAAGCAGGGGCGCGGGGAGTTGGCAGGAGCCGAGAAGGGTTAGGGCAGGCTTGTCTGAAGATGGGATAAGCGCGCTGAGGACAGAGGCGGGAAGGCTGTAGCGGGAGGTCACAAACCGGCAGGCGCGCACGGGAAGGGTCTGGGCCGGCCCCGTGACTCAGTTTACCAGGAGCTGCGCGCGGGTGGGGCAGCCCCAGCGGGCGGCAGCGGGAGTGTCTGGGCCGCGGGAACCGGTGCTCCGCGCGTCCGTCTGCAGGCGGGGCTGTGGGGCGCGCGCGTGTCCCGGCTGCG